CAAAACATCACACTGGTGTCTGTCAGAAGTAATGACTCCAATGGAACAGGAGAGAAAGGCAGGAAACCAGCCAGGACTCTACTGTGGTACTGACAGCATGCTATGCAGATGGTCAGGTTCAGGATAATTTTCAACACACAGGGAAACGTACAGAATAATGAAGGAATGCCCGATTTTGAGCCTGAGTAACTGGATGGATAATAATTCTCTTCAAAGTGGAAGGGGACTGGAGGGAAGGCAAAGGCAAATCTGAGGTTCTGTCCGGACAGTAACTGTTTTGGTTGTAAAATCAATTGAGAGGCAAAACTGTGAGAAAAGCAAAGTTTCATAGTTCAACAAAATTGGAAATGTCAAATTTGCTAACTAAATTATTTACATAGTAGAGAAGAAAAAGGAAACAATCACTTTTTTGTCTCTACATCGTATATTCTAAGTTAATTTTAGCATTTTATGAAATGCACTGACTGAAAAACTTCAAGGACTTAGCCAGTGCTGCAGCTTGGGGTCAAGGATGTAGCTCAGTGGGTCAGCATTTGCCCAGCATGCAGGAGGCTCTATGTTCAATTCTCAACAGGGAAAAAAATATACCACGGATTGAATTATAGTCATACCTGGGAATTCCATCACATTTAAGGCCTGTACCCCTTAAATAATATGTGGATCCTGAAATACAAAGTCAAGGAAAAATAGACATGCCTCACTTTAACCATATCTTGTCTAAGTTGCTCTAAATTATTCCAAATTGGACATGGATATTCTAATCTAATAATAACATGAAAATAAATATGACATTTAAAATTGGCTTATCAAGATGAAATCCCATGAAAACTTTTAAAAGATTTAGCACAGTCTGATATAAGACAGGGCCTTTAGGACTGGAACATCCAAACTTGAACTAGTGAAGCGATGATCACCTCATTCCTTCTCCATTTGGTAGCCACATTTTGCCTGTTCTTAACATTGGAAAAAATTAGTGACTTAGGATGGATTACATTGATTACTATAACCATAACTATGGCCCCCATGGCCACCCACCAAGCTACTCTCAATACCCATTGTTATTAAAGCTGTTTTATTCAGTCACCACCAGGTAAATGTTTCACTCTTACAGATTTGGCTGATATGCTTTGTTTACTGTTTAAAACTTTTTGTTTAGATCCATACTATGTATAGATACATGCAATTCATTATGTTAAGCTATATGTATACAATTTATTTAACTTTGATTTTCTTCTTTTTAGGAATTAACATCCATCAGTAATATATTATGCTTGCTATACCTAGAATTTGCTTTGTATATAAAGTTGAAAGTTCCTTTTATTTTTCACTTGATTTATAGCAAACTAAATAGTAGACATCTACCTCATTCTGTCCCAGCCCCCCCCACCTTCTTATTTTAAGTTTTTAACCTTGTCAAACATATTTAGTCTGTCTCTGGTTGATGAGAGAACAAATGGGGAGGGATTTTGTGTCTCAAGACAGTTGCTTCAAGCACAAGATAACAATTTCCTCCCTTACCAACCCCCAATTTTCGTTTTTAATCTCTTAAGTCTGCCTATCCGATATGGGGCATGTTTGAACATAAAACTCCTAAGAAAGTGCTAGGTGACTGACGAGATGGCTCAGTGAATAAAGGTACTTGCCACCAAGCTTGATGAACTGGGTTTGTTCCACAAAATTGTCCCTTGACCTCACATGTGCTCCTTTGCATGTGTGCGTGTGCCCTCGTGTGATTGAGTGTGTGCATGCACATATAGATAAATAAATGTAATAAAAACTAAAAAGGAAGTGCTAGATTATAAAGCCCATAGAGACTAATTTTTAGGATGGAGAGCATGCTGAAAAGGAAGTTAGGTGTCATATCATAGAAGACATATCATCTTCTAACCCAAGTACCCTTAAATTCTTTCAATGAGAAATTGTCCCCAGTGCCTTTTTCTCTTGTTTAATGGGGAGAGATGACGTACACAACTCCACTAGCACTTCAGCCTGTTAAACACGTCTGAAATTTGGTTACTCTTTGACTTACAGAAATCTTATTTTTGTAAATTTGTTCCATGAAAACAAGCAGTCAGAATTTTGGTTTGGGGCCCTGCCCCACACTGTTTTCTGTCCAATGATTCTAGACTTTTCATTTCACCTGAAATTCAATAGACCCCAAACTAAATATGGACAAATGGGCCTCATGATTTCCCTTGGAGAAGATGTTCCTCTTCAGTCCTTCTAGCACCGACATAGAGTCCACAGAAAGGAAAGTCATGGATCTGTTCACCTTAGAGCCTGGAGGACAGACTCTGGAAGATGAGCTGAGCACAGGTGGCTCTTCATAATTCTTACCTAGGTTGTTCTTTATCTCTTGTCACAGTTGTATTTTCTAAGGGAAAGCCAGGCATTAATTCCAATATTCAGTTCTGTCGGGGACAATACAAAGAGGACCTCAGCGTAATTGCTTATGTAGCAACAACTGTCTGGTAGAAGTTTTCTGAGGGCTGGGCATTATGAGGAGAGGCCTAACAGTTTTATCAGCTGTCAGCTAGCCATAGGGTACTATGGAATTTCCTGGGCGTAGGCATTTCTTTCAGACTCAGAAATTACACCTTATCAGGGCTTGACACTGGTTGATAGTAGAGATCCTGATTCAAGCTAATCAAATTTAAGAACATCTATCAATATATGATAAATAATGTGATTGAGGAGGATTTAGGTGCTTATTCACCTCTAGCAAGCTCCCCCAGAGGCGGCACTCTAGGCAGCCAAATTCTGATTTTTGTGGTTGAAAAGAAATAGAAAGCAGAAAGGAGGTAAAGCAAAAACAGACTGGAATGGCAGTGATGGGCCTTGATCTGGAAGTTGGAGTGACAGAAAGTCAGGGACAAAATAAAGGTGGGGAGAGGGAATTGGCAACAGGTTTCCTGGACCAGTCAGTAAAAATCTTGACACAAGATTCTGTCTTACCTGTGTAGCCATCAGCAAGAAGGGCTGAGGCGCTGGGTTGATTACTTGGCTGCCGTTCATCTAAAGTAGGCTCAGGGGAAGGACTGGTCCTCCTGAGTGGCAGGCAAGAATTCTACCACTGCATGATGGAGAAATATTAGGTCCTGAATGCTTCTCTTATGGTCACCACCTTCTGGCTGCCTTCCCAGAATGCAGCAATCCACTCCCTCATTGACTCCTATGACATGACTCACTTCTAATCACAGGGCATTCCTTGACCTGGAGTTCTGCATGACTGACTCTCCTTGTAACGGGGAAACCCACCCTGAACTTGCTCCAAATGACACAACCTCAGCACCAAACCCCTTCCCCTGAAAATATAAAAACCCTGAGTCTGTGAGGGAGGGTGTACTCTCCCGTGGATCATGGGCTGTGAGAATGTGCCCTCTTACATTTATTCTACAACAAATCTGCTTGCTCTGTAGAAGGTCAGTTTCTCATCTACCTGCTTCCTATTTCTGTATAGTGGTAACTGGAAATTTTGGAATGAGAGAAAGCAAGGGGTGGAGGGTGTCTTGTGTGTTGGAAATTGTTAATGATTCAAACCTGACATAGCTGGATCTATCTTCATAGTAAAAAAATAATTGCTGCAGAGATTCCATTCTCTACCTACCTGGAGAAGTCCAAACACATGTCCCTCTGAAGTAATCTGAGAGATATTAAATCATATTTAGACTTGGATTCAAACTGCTGCCATGATTTCTCTATCTTGGACTTGAACCTCTGAGTTAAAACCATAGCTTATTTTTCTTTCTCTTTAAAAAATGGTTTATTTTATTTTTAACTTTGTGTATGTGTGCGTCTGTGTGTAGGCATATGCATGAGAATGAAGGTGCCCAAAAAGGCCAGAAGAGGATGTTGGATCCTTTAGGGCTGGAGGTACTGGTGGTTGTGAGCCATTGAATGTGGGTGCTGGAAACTGACTGACTCAGTTCCTTTGCAAGGGCAGTACACTCTCTTAACTACTGAACAATCTCTCCAGCTTTCTTTTTCTTTCTTTCTTTCTTTCTTTCTTTTTTCTTTCTTCTTTCTTTCTTTCTTTCTTTCCTTCTTTCTTTTTCTCTCTCTCTTTCCTTAAAAATGTAATTTATTATTTATGTCGGGGTGGGGTGAGGGGTGGGGTGGTGGAGGTATGTGCATGCCATATGTGTGTGGGTACCTGCTGAAGCCAAAAGACAGTGTCAGATCCATGGAGCTGGAGTTACAGGTAGCCGTGGGTGCTGGGAACTGAACTCTGGTCCCCTGGAAGAGCAGCAGGAGCATTGAACCACAGAGCCATCTCTACAGACCCTCATAGTTCATATTTCTAGGAGCATCTTGCTTCTCAGACCTTAGGGAACATGATATCTTTAGAACCATGTAGCTGTACAGACTACTCTACCTAAGAACTTCATCATACAAATCTCCCATTGAGACTATATGGATTGATTACACATGTTAATTATGTATCTTCATTCTGTTCATATAAATACATGGTATTGAAGTCTTGGCTGGATCATGGTCAAGTACAGTATTGAGGATTAGTGATAGGGAGTCCTTCCTAAGCTCACACTTAGTCTAGTACTTTCCTACTCATCCATATTCACTTATCAAACTAAATGGCAGGATTTTTCAGCAGAGGACAGTCTTGTGTGAAACCTGTTTCTAGGCAGTGACAGCTTTCCCCCCACTGGTGTTTAAATGAAATCATGAAGAAAGGCCAGCTTCAGGCAGGTGACACAGACCTCTGCCCATCCCCCATTCAGCTCTGCCTTTCAACTGTGACCTCATCACTGACACCATATCCCCTAAAGCTTGTCCAAGAGAGGAGCAGCTGCCCCTTTTATGGGAACCAGGCGGCTGTAGGGCTACATTGGGAGGTGGCATCTGCAGGACATAGGTGAAAGGATATCACTGGATACCTACTGGTCCCTGTACCCAGGTGTGCTCAGGGCCACATCAAATCTTCTGCAGGTGTGTGATCCACTGTGTCCTTAGGTAACCCTTCATTCACTTCTCAAGGAAATATGGCACGGGCTAGGAAAGAAGCCGGGGACAGCTAATTGGTGTCTGGTAGGGAGCCATTATCACATTATCAGAGTGTCTGTCAAGACCCCACAAGATTGCCAGGAATTTTTGCTGGCAGAAGATAGCAATGTCGGCCACTTTAAGAAGCAGATCTCCAAACACCTTCACAGTGACACTGACTGGTGCTCATCTTCACTGGGAAGATCCTCCCGGATCAAGATGTACTGAGTCAGTGTGGCATCCTTGATGGCTTGACCATCCAGCTGGTGGTGAGGACTCGTTTGAAAGGATCAGCCTGTCCTCCAGGAACTCCGCCAGGCCCCACAGGCCACTGCACTCAACGTTCTGACCCAGCAGCCTCTGAGGGTGCTGGGGTGCTCACCAGGTTGGGCCGGCTGGCCCGGAGCTCATGAGATGCAGCTGATTTCTTTTGCCAGCTTGTTCAGCTGTTGACAACTGCACCCGAGTCTGTGGTGCAGTTCTTGGAAGAGCCTCTAATTCAAGGACTGGCAAATAAGAAACGCGCCAATGACAGCCACTTTCCCAAATCCTCAAAGGCACATCAGAAACGCAAGCCAGCGCTGGAAACCTTTCAGAAGCTTGCCCAGCAACAGGAACTCCTGCAGGAACACAAGCAGAGTCTGGAGGCCCTGAAGGCGGTGCCGGGAGGTGACAATGCTATGCGACCTTGCTGCTCTGACATCCAGCATCTCTTGCTCTCCATTCTGGCCCTATTGGCAGCCTCCAAAGGCCACCTTTCAGGTTCAGAACCTTGCAGAGGAGAAGTCAACGCTCACAGCAGTTCTGAGACGACCACCATCTCTGCCACCTCTGCTCCTGTCAGGCCATTGGTACTAGAGGTCAATACAGGAGGAGGTATCCAGGCCAGGGGCATAGTTTCAAATCAAAACAGTTCAGTGTGCAGAACCGGTATGCTAGACTCACACCCAGGCTCAGATCTTCCCTTGCAAGATAGCCAGCAGCCGGAGGAGAAAGCTCCTCAAAGCAGTCAGCCGAGACTCTGACTGTCTGATTTGCAACAAGCCTTGCTATCCTGCAGCAGAATCCAGCCTGTTACACCAGCTGACGACCGGCAGCCTGTTGCTTCAGCACATGACACTTCCCATCCTCACCAAACCGCGAGCGCTGCAGGCATTGTTACAGATAGAATAAAGCCTACAGATACTATCCAGGGAGGTGCCTGAGACGGTGCCGTTCCTCCGGGCTAAACCGCGTGGGGCTAGAGGAGCCCCAGAAACTAGGGGTAGAAGACTAGTACCTAGAGAAGATCCCGTGCAACTCTCCTTGGCCTTTCCTCAGCTCTTCCATGCCCTGGCCAATGCCTGTTCCCAGCCTTTCCAAACCTCGCTGTCCACGTCCCTCTTCACTGAAGGTCGCTACCAGCAAGAACTGGAGCAGCTGAAGGCCCTGGGTTTTGCTAACCGTGATGCAAACCTGCAGGCCCTGATAGCCATGCTGCCATTGAGAGGCTTCTAAGAGCTCCCCAGGTCTAATCTCTCCAGCTGATGCTCACAATGCACCGCCCTGTGGTGAAGGAGGAAAACGGGGAAGGGCCGGGAAGGCACTTATTTTAGAAATTCCTCCTACTTGGATTATGAGCACTTTTGGGCAGTCCGTCTCTCACTGCCCAAGCCTGTTCTACATTAAAGATTGCTTGGATCTCACGTGTGTTGTAGATTTGGGGATGGCTGGGCAACAGCATTATTTGGAGAGGGTTGATACATGGTTCCTGGGACTCTTATTTACTCTCATTTCTTTAGCCTAAGAATCTTTGAAAGTTTCAAACACAAGGTGGGGCTGGGGGAATAGCCTAGTGGGTAAGGAGCTTGCTGTATACAAGCATGAGGACCTGAGTTCAGATTCCCAGCACCCATGTAATGGCAGATGTGGTGGTGTGTGTGTGTCACCCCAGCACTGTGCAGGGGAGAAAGGAAGATCCGTGGAACTCACTGATCAGTCAAGGCTAGCCAATTAAGTAGCCCCAATGTTCAGTGAAAGATCCCTTTTCAGTAAGGTGGAACCTAGTAGAGAAAATCACCTGATGTTGACCTTGGTCCCACACACACATGCATATATGCTAACATGTACACACACACACACACACACACACAGAGATACACATACACACTAAACACGAGGTGGGTAAATCTTGAAAGATTTAATATCTTTACTCCTGTTCAGTCAGTAATTTGGCTCCCTGCCTGCATCACCATCATCATCTGAGCTCCTTCTGTTTCACTCCAGAGTGAAGGGATCCCAGCTGTTCTCCCAAAAACCCATGGCTTTTTTTTTTTTTAAAGACCCCTTGAAACCACACATTCCTTTGCTGGCATGTTTCCCTGTCTATAGGGCGTCTCTTGATTTGGCAGAAAATATTCGCAACTTCCCTCAGCAATGGCTCTTCCTTTGAACTCTGTCTGTGCTTAGGGTCCGGCTCTGTGGGGCTAGCATCCTGTCTTCCTCCGCAGAATTCTTCCTTTTCTCTTGCAAAATGTTTTGTCTTATCAGCTACTGAAGTTTCCTTCTGCAGGTTTTTGCTTCTGGATTTGCAGCTGTCTCTCTTGGGTGGGTGGGGGGCAATGTTTTATGATCTTCTGCAGTTAGTGTTATCCAAGTAAGGTGCAGAAGCTTTCTCACTCTTCTTAATTTTAAAAAAATTTGACCTACTGGCACCCGTTTCTTTAAAGAGTCTTCCTTTAATCCTTAAAAAATTCACTCCCTAATAGATGGTGCTTCCGGGAGTATATTATACCAGTTCTTTTTAACTGCATCTCTCGGAGAGTTTGGCCCTTTGCATACCCACAGTTCCCACTCTTTTATACAGTCACTAAATTTCACAGATGGACATAAGGCAAAAAGCACTAGGGTCTCCTTCTTTGGGGCTGCTGGTTTAGGTCTGGCCTCTATAATTTTGTCCAAATGAAGGTGTGGAGAAGGAGGTAGGAAGACAGAATGAATATCTAGAAAATATCTTGGAGGCACATTAATTCTCAATATAGTCATGGTCAAGGAGAGGCAATGGGAACAGAACATGCTCTGGATCCTCAGCTCTCCTGGACAGCCCTTGTTGGACACATGGCTGTCTGTAACTCACTGATGTGCACAATCAATCTCAGACAACTGTGGTAGGCAGAATTGGCTTCCTGGAGATATTCTGCAGTGTGACCATTGTTGCCATCTCCATCTTCTGCTGAGGTGACTTTGCCTTACTGTAGGGACTGTGTCTTGGCTCTTCCACACACTCAGAATATGTACATTGACTAATTAGCCTGTGTTGACATCACTGCTGTGGCTGCCTATGGGCTGACTGCAGCTCTGTTGGTCACGGGCCTGGATTTTGTCCTCTTCTATGGATGTATGTTCTATGCTTTTTCATCTTATATCTCATGATGCCAAGGACAAAGTTCCCAGAAACCGAGAAGCCTGCTTTGATATCAGCATGGTTTTCTATTCCCAGGTGTTATTCACAGCATATTAATTCCCACTGCATCTCCAAGTATGCACTCATCATATGGATAACCTCTACACTCTAGTGCCTCACGTGTTCAGTTCTGTCATCTGCGAGGCTAGAACCAAGGAGATTTGTACTCACATAGCCTCTCTAGAATAGCTTTAGTTCAGGAAGACATGTTCTGATCTATGAATTTGCATAGAAGATAAGGATAGTATAAACCTCCATGGACAGCTGATAGAATTAAAGGTGGAATGGAGGAGCACTGGGCTGCAAACACCAGTACTTGTTTCCTAATACTGGAAACATCAGTTGGTTCCTCATGAGCTCATCTACTTTCCAATATCTGAAATCTCTTACAGCTTTGTAATCTGATAAATCTGTACGAACAAACTCACTTTAAATACTGCCTTGAGAACCCAGGGTCCTGAAACATGGACCTACCTCTCACACTAACTTCCTGCATCCATATATCTCCCTTTCTTCCAGAAATAAAATGAGGGTCACATCAGGATGAGATCAATGTCAGTGTGGTTACACCTAGTGAGTGATTTTATAGTTTGAGGTAGGCTTTTTAATTCAATGAAGCCAAGACCTTACAAGAGCAGGCATAGAACTCACAGGCATGCATCTCAGGAACAGAATGGAGGTTGCAAAGTTACTGTGTTAGTCAGTGTTCTGTTGCTGTGGCACAAACACTGACCCAAGAAACTTATAGAAGGAAGAGTTTATTTGAGCTTAAGGTTCCAAAGGGGCAAGAGTCCATCACGGCAGGGAGGCATGGTGGCAGAGGTGGCTGGAGGTGGAACAGAAGCTAAGCTTTACATCTACAAGTAGGCACAGGAAGCAAGAGAGCAGAGATCCGGATATCTGGCAAGGCTTAAGAACTCTCTAAGTGATGTGCTTCCTCCAGGATAGCAACACCTTCTAAGACTTCCCAAAACAGCACCACCAACTGGGGATAAAATGTCTCAACACTTGGAGCCTTTGGGGGATATTTTCATTCAAACCTCCACAGTCACTGAACACTAGCCCTCACTCTTAGCTACAGCTTTTCTTTTCTATTAAAATCATTATGCTTCTGCGTCCCAGTCACATTCAGTGTTTCATAAGATTAGTGAAACCTTGGTCTTCATTTTTGTTAGTGGTGGTGTTCTAGGCTGCCATCTTCTTAGGAAGCATGCATTATTTGTTCATCTATTTACTTAATAGTCAACATCTAGGCTTATTCACAAGTATAGTCAGATCACAAAGGGGGAGATAAAAAAAGGCACCGGTAAAGATTTCATGGATGTGGTATATGCAACCAATGTCCTGAAAGATGGACAGGAATTTTTCAGGGGAACAATCTAGAAAGGCATCTAAGGAAGAGTCAACAGCATGAGCAAAGACATAGTGGTTTTGATGTCTAGTATGCTGGAGACCTATGCAATCAGTGTGCCTAGGATTTCATGATGAAGGCTCTTCTTTACATGTAAGTATGAGGTATCTGGGAATATTCATGAGGGTTACAGAGACCTTCCGTTCAATCAAGAAGCTGCCTTTTGCAATCATGTTGAAAAATGAGATTTGAAAATAGCAATATTGAAATTAGCCTGAAATGAAGGTGGTTTCTACAGTCTTTTTGAAGAAACAGTAGACTCTCCCTAAGACAGCATCAACTAAATTTTGTTTGGGCCTTAGTGCCTTATACACAGCTTTGTGCAATATCATTTTGTGGAATGCCAGACACACTGAGATTTCCTGCTTCAGTATTACATCAAATTCTATCACCGTTCGCTCACAGAGAACTGGGAAACGTCATACACCTTCCCCAGTTGGTGCCATGCTTAGCTTCTCTTTACCTAGATCTCGAATGGAAAGTCTGTGTCCACCTTTCTAGTGTCAAAAAGACTAACTTTGAATGACAAATGACCTAGCTTCACTTCACACACTGTTCTTTTTGCCTGATTGACCTTGTCTTGATTGCTTGACCATTTGACTTGTTTTGCTAGTTAACAGAGAAGGGGAACTAATACCTGCAGTTTCCGATCATTGCAAGGATGAAATAATCTCTGTGAATTTCTTAGCAGAGGCTACTTAGGGCATAGGGCTAATGAGTATCAGTTATTGCAATGTTCTGCACCGTCTGTTTTCTCACCCGTAAGAGGGTGCTAATGCTATCTAGTAGGTATTAGCAAAGATTTCTGAAAGTTAATGTCTGAACTTCACATGCAGCATAGCGCTTGTTACAAAGACACTCAGAAGAATGTTATCTTTCTTTCCATGGCCCTCTAAAGCTCTCCAGTCTCCATCCTGAGTCCAACTGGCAGCTAACAGTAACTCGTGCCTAATATTCTTACTGAAAGCTTTATTTTCTCACATTACATCCTTACAGCAGTGGGATCCAGTTTCACAGTGCCCATCCAGAAATCTACATGTCAAGGGAGAGGAAAGGAGGGCGACTTTCACCTATTGTTGCTGCCACTCTTTAATAGTATAATTAAACCTTGTGAATTCCTGCACAAACCCTCAGTGTGGGGCCTGTAGCCCTAAGTGCCAAGGGCATCCTTTATTCCCAAGTATTAGGGCCTCTAGTTGAATGGGGGAAGTGCTCGGCATCACTATCATATATTATGTATAATATACACAGTTCATGTTCATTCCCTGAGGACTACACGAGGGTCTGAGGATCCCAGTTAACATGCTTGTTTATCAGAGGCTTGTAGTGCCTGTCATCTATTGATGCAATGAAACAGAGAGACACAGCCTTCTTTGCTCTTGTCTCCTGTTCTGTGGGTCATCCTTTTTTCTCTTGCACATTTCCATTTCAGAAACATTTCTCTACACTCTCTACTTCCAATTCCTCAAGTTTCTGGGTGTTCTCTGTTCCACAGAAATCACCCTAAGGTAGTGACGGCTTCCTAATAGACAAATCCAGTCGACACCTGTTCTTTGAATTTTATTCACAATCTATACTCTATTAGGTAGATGATTTTATATTTTTGCTTGGCTTATCAGAACTACAATACTTGTTTCCTATTCTTAAGCTTATTTGAAGAA